GGGAGGGAGGAATCAGGGCTGGACTCAAGTGAGGGAGGCGTTAATGACCTCTAGGGTCTCTGCTAGTAGAGACTGCACAATTCAGTAAGGATTCAGCATTCAGGAAAGTTACACCTTTTGGAGGCCTGTGGAGGGCCTGGTGCTGAGGGGCCACTGCCTTCTCTCTTGCAGCCTGCCTGCAGCATCGGAGCTGCGAAGCCTGCATGTCCTCAGACCTGACCTTCAACTGCAGCTGGTGCCATGTCCTCCAGAGGTTTGTGCCCAGACTGACCCTCGGGTTCCCGCACGCAGACGGTGGAAGAGGGTAGCACTGCCCCGCCCTTGTCTCAGGCTTCATTGCCAAGAGGAAGGTGCCTCTGGCCAGTCCACTCTGACCCTTGGGACAAGAAGGTCACAGAAGTGAGCTTCTTCCTGAGGTTTGTGACGAATCAAGGTGCCTGTGTGGCAGGGTTCCTGTGATGACATTAGGCTCCTAGAGATTCCAGCTACTGCAGCTCCCTCCTCACACCTGGAAAAGGTGGGTTCATGCTGGGGCAGGGCTTCTCAGAGGGGTCCACAGTTGCACGCATTCCAGAGTCAGCTGAGGCTCACGGATTCCTGGGACACGCCTCAGGCCCTGCATCAGGAGCTCTGGGCAAGAACCCCAGGAGCCTGTACGTGATCATGGTGCCTCCTCTGCACACAAGTGTGAGATGGGGTGACCCGAAGACTCACTGCTGTTGGGTGAGAGCCCCAGGACCCCAAAACACCACCTTAAGGCTGCAACAGGGTTTCCCGAAAACCAGGGGCATGGAAATGTCAGGCATCTGTGGGAAGTTGGGGCAAACAAAGCTATGTTTGCTTGGTTTTAGAAGCAGAGAAAAATCTGGATGAGATGCAGGTTCAGGGATAAAGTTCTTAAGTCCAGCTCACCTTCCACTCCTCACACATTGGACTCGGAAGCTGAGCCCTGTTCTCCTACCCAGGATAAGTAAATGACAGAAGGAAGAAAATAATAATTTCTCTGGGGGTTACGTCTCTTATGAGCGTGGATGCCCTGTGAACTCCTAGAGCTTTTAAGGCAATCTTGAAATTGCAAATCATGGAGTCTCTGAGGTCCAGGCAGCTGTCACACAGCTGCCAGTGTTTCCTCTGCTCCTTTCCAATATCTCTGTGTAGAAATAGAAGCCATCGGCCTTTACAGGCGGCCTGCCTAGCTCACAGCACACATGACGCAGCTCGGGGCTGGGAGGGGAGAGAGGCCCTCATCCAGCCTCCCAGGTGTTCCTCCCACAGCTCTTATTCACTCAGTTTGTTTTCCCGGTAAAATGGGCTGGGGTTATGTGGTTCAGAGAAATAGGGGTGAGGAACCTGCTGTTATTTTAACCCCTCAAATACCAAACAGCATTTTTGCAAAGTGTTCGGGGCCCTACACACGAAAGGCGCAGAGCCTCAGAGAGATACACAGGGTGGACCTCAGGCTGGTTCTTTTGGGAGTGGAGCCTTGCAGCTCCACAAGTCCATCTTGTGCACTTTCAAGTTTGAGCGCCACCACCTCAGCATGGGGAGATCATCCAGATGAGCACAGACGAGCCCTGGAACCTTCGGGCTGGCTGCCACCGCGTGACTCAGCATCCAACGACAGCTGAACCTGAGAACTGCAAAATGGGTCAGATGGAAGCAAAGCCTCGCATTGACACAGCCCCATTTCACACATGCACCCAATCCCAGATCTTCACTCTTTGGTGCCAGGGACCATGACAGTTTAATGAGGGTTCGTCAGGTTGGGGGCGGGCAGGGCCTGGGATGTGGACACGGCCTCTGCTGTGGTTCTGTCAGCTACAGGACAGAGGCTCTTCATCAAAGGGTACAAGACTGACATGGTCTGGAAACCTCCGGTCCTCGGATACCCATGAACCTAGGCTCACCCCAGTGTGGGCCCCTCCTTGCCAGCTCTCTGGAGCCTCAGCTCCAGCTAAGAGCTGACTCCATGCCCCTAAAATGTCAGAGGGCAGGACTGGTGCATTGGGGCGGCCACCAAGGCCTCTCCCACCAACAGCTGCTTGCAATCACCATGTGGGCTCTTGGCTAACCCTTTCCCTTCAACCCGCTCTGTTCTCTGCAGACTGCCAGGGCTTCCCCTCCCTGCCCTGGGGCTGGATCTGATTTAGACAGTTTCACTTACCGTGGCTGTGTTTCCCTGTCATCCCACATTGCCCCCCAGTGGCCCACTCTGGAGTCTAAGGGTGACCTTAACTCCAGGATTTGGCTCAGGAAATGACGGCATAATCCTTGCCTTCCCATGCCACTGGGAGGGTCCCATGAGATGGTGCAGGAGCAGCATGTGGCTGGGGCAGCACNCCCAGTATTCAGGAGGCTCTCAGTAAATGGCCACTTCTCATGCCCTTTGAGTCGGGATTGGTTGGCTCCGGGCTTAGAATGTGATGCTCTTAGACCTTTATGGAAGGCTCAGTCCTTGAAAGAATCATTGTGGCCTAAAAGAAACTTTAGTTTCCATCCCCCAATAGTCGTCCTAATCCTCCATTCCCCACAGTGGTGGGCACAGAGGACCTGAGAGAGAGGAGCGTGGACGGCTCAGTTCAGCGTCTGCTGCAGGAATTGCTGGTGAAGGAAGTTAACTAGCCATGAATTCTTTCTTAGTACTGGTGGCGCGTGATATTATTTTCCCCACGCAGATGTCCCTGCCCTTGAGTGGGGCTTGATGGATTCTCTTGGCACCAAAGAGTGGAGACTGGAAATTTGAGTGTGGTGCCATGGAGCACATCCTCCCGTTCATCCTCATGCCTCCACCCTTCCCGAGTGAAGTGCTTGGCGCCTTCCAGCTCGGTTGCGCTGCGCAGTGTCCTCTCAGGGAACCCTGGTCAGCCAGTTTTGTCTCTCTCCCAGCCTGTGGCAGGACCCTCATTTCTGCCCTTTAATGATCACACAGGGGGGTGGGTGTTGGCTAAACCTACTGATATCCACCTTCACTCAGCCTCTCCTGGCCAAGTTCAGGCCCTTCCACCAAAAGAGGGGTCTTGGTGAATGAACAAGACTTCTCCGAATGAGAACACGTGTGTGAACTTCCTGAATTTTTAGCGATTTCGTGGCAGTCCCAAGTCAGGGGGGCCTGGAAGGTCATTAGAGGTCATGCGGTCTAGCCCCCTATACACACATCTGGACTGGTGAGGCCTTGATCCTCGGGAGCTGGGTCAGAAAGAAGGTGGGAATTTCACAAATACCTTCCCCTCCTTCTGAAAGGAATAGAGGGGGCAGGAGGGTCTGACTCCCGATTTCACAGCTGCCTGGTGCTGAGGGCACCTGCCCAGTGGTCTTGGGAGCTTGACTGCCGAAACCCTGGGAGGCTAGCCCCTTCCTCACTATCATGGGAGAGCTGCTGCTGCATGGAGAGAGCTTCTCTATCAATCCTCACCCCCCTACCTCTGACCTTTGGTTTCCCCTGCAGATGCTCCAGTGGCTTTGACCGCTACCGCCAGGAGTGGCTGTCCTACGGCTGCGCCCAGGAGGTGAGAGGCTTAAGTGAGCCAGGTGTGGGAAACAGTAGGGCTGTCAGCAGGCCCCTTGCCTGGTAGCTCTTCTCAAGGTGTCTTTGGCTCTTGGTGAAATTGTCCCCTTCACCTGGGATTCGGATCCTCTGGGAGGCTGTGCCCCTGATGACATTCGTGAAGCAACTGTGGCTCCAGCCTTCAGGCCTTGAGGGTGGCAGTCGTTCTGAGAGTGAGGACGGTTGTTCCAGACTCCTCCCATTTAGATTCCATACAGATTCCTTCTTACCACTGGAGTTTTCCAGGACGCTCCACACTTTGATCTTGGGTGGGGAGCATCCTGTTGGGGAGCATACTAACATGTGTGTCATCCTCATGTCCTTCTTCCCTCCCTTCCTCTCTCCATCTCTCCTTGCAGTGTGAATTTACTTCCCTGCATGCTGCTCTATGCTTGCTCTGATTTACTCCTAACAAGACCCCAGAAGCTGGAGGCTGGAGCCCCACTGACCAGGATGGGAAACTGAGGCTGAGGGAGGTTTAGTGACTTGGCCTGCATTTCACAGTTGGTGAGATGGTGAAGGTGCCAGGCCCAGCATTTAAACGTAAACCCCCAGACCCCACTGCCAGGCGCTCATCACCATCTGTTTTATTAGGAAGGCTGGGTAAGCTGTCTTTTTCTGGCCTTAAGAGAATCTTGTCTAGCCCTAGCTGGTTTGGCTCAGTGGTTAGAGCATTGGCCCGTGGACTGAAGAGTCTCAGGTCTGATTCCAGCCAAGGGCACGTATCTCGGTTGCAGGTCCAATCTCCAGCTCCAACTGGGGCCCGTGTGAGAGGCAACACAACTGATGTGTCTCTCTCACATCAGTGTCTCTCTCTCTCTCTCTCTCTCTCCCACTCTTTCTGAATAGTAATGGGGTGAGGGTTTGAAAAAAAGAGAGAGAGAAAATCTCATCCAGCAGCCCACTTCTGATGGCAGATTTGCTCTTATTTCACGCTGGCATCTCAGCTCCTTCCTTGAGGAAGGATTCAAAACCGCAGACAGATAAATTGCCCTGTAAGATAAGATCCTTTCAGGATCAAGTGCAGGGCTTAAAGGCATTCAGGGCACAGCTTTGGTTCGGTCACCACACTTGGACCATGCGCAGGAATCTTACACTTTCTGGCCGTTGAGGGATGGAAGTGCCCCCATGTCCTCACCCGTGAGGCATGTCCGTCGGCGAGGCCTCTGTCCAGGGCAGCCCGGTCTCTCTTACAGGCAGAGGGCAGGACGTGTGAGGACTTCCAGGATGGGGACCACTACTCACCTTCCCCCGGCAGCTCCTTCAGCCCCTCCGATGGAGGCCACAGCACCACCTCCTCCCCCCTCCCCTTGGACAGCCTCACCACGGAAGGTAACGGCGGGGAGGGGGGAAGCCTGGGGAAGGGCAGCTGCCCCGGAGAAGCATCATCTCTGTCAGGGGAAACCTCGGGGAATAAGAATCGCCCTGTCCTTTCACAGATGAGGGACCTGAGGCTCAGAGAGCTGGGGTCACTTGCTGGGGAGAAGCAGAACCAAGTTTTGAATGAGTGGACTCCACGGCCAGGCTCTAATGTCAGGGCTGTGGGGTGAAATTCACTATGGTGAGGGGGAAAACAAATGTCCAGCCCTGGGCCAGGTATTTTATACAGTATCTCAGTTCATGTTAGCAATCCTCACAGAACCTGTGAGGTCTTATCATCCCTGTAGAAGGGACAGACTCAGCCTAAGCACTCAGGTGTGGCAGGAACATTGCCTCATTTCTCTCTAACTCCTCTCCTCTCAGCCCTCATTCAGCTGGAGAGAATCCCACCTCAGTCCTTCTGGGGCTGGCTCCCTGCCCCTGACCTTGTACAGCAGAGGGTCAGAGTGGGGCAGCTGTGTCCTTCTTGGTTGCTGCTGATCCGTCCCTGCCTCTTCCCTCTTCAGGCCTGGCTGTCCCCAAGAGCTTCCCTGCCAATCCTGACACCTGGGGAGAGGTCCATCCACCTGGAGGCACCATGTGCTGTCTCCAGAAGCCTGTGCAGGCCCCCCTGGGACGCTGGCTATCTATAAGAAATTCCTCTCTCTCATCCATTTTCAATACATCAAATCTAGGTTTTAGCTCCTTGCTTTAGGCTAAGACTAGAGACTTGTGGGCTCTTACCACCTCCTCTGTGCCAGATACCTGCTTGAAAGGGGCAAATAGAAAGGAAGAAAGGAGAGAAGAAAGAAGTTAATATGTTAAAACATTATTCAGCCACAGTTCCATTTTCTAGATACAGAAATGGGCTCATAAGGGCAATGAAGGTTGCTCAGTGCTAAGTGAGGGAGAAGTGGTGGAGCCCCTACATTTCTAAATGCAGCCTAGAGAGCTGGGGAGTTAGAGCAGCAACTCATGGATCTGGCCAGAGGATGGTCATAGGAAAGTGGACAAATGACGGAAAGAGCAAACATTTGGGGGGGACTGACCATGTGCCAGTTAGGGTGCTGTTGTGCACACATTAACACTCACTTAGTCCTCCTATCAATCCTGTACGCTGATGCCCTTTTATCCCCATTTTGTAGAGGAGACACTAAGGCTCAGAGAGGCTGATGACTTGCCCAAGGTCACACAGCCCGGAAGAGGTGGAGTCAGGTCTTATCTGGCTCTAAAAGCAGCCATCCTGCCCCTCAACCCCACTGCTTTTCTCAGTGCTGAAAGAAATAGAAAAGGGTCTCTGTGGGTTCAGGGAAGGGTGAATGAGCAACGACTGAGATGGCTCTGGTCACTCTAAGGTTGTCCAGGAACAGACAGGGGCTGGTTAGAGCCAAGAGAGTGAGAGCAGAGCTCCTGCTGGTACTTAAATGAAAAAGGAGCAGGGAGGAGATCTTGCCCTCAGGGAGAAAATGGTCAAGCCCAGGTGACCTTCCAATTAAGGGAAATTCCAGTTTAAATGAAGAAGCCCCTTGCCGGTCACCCCCGAGTTAACCCTCTGTGTTCATCCTCAGAGCCCAGCGCTCAGGGGTTTGCTGGACCTTCGGGTGAGCCACAGAGTCAGAGGCCAGAAGGTAGCTGTGGTGGGTGTGGAGAGCCCAGCACACGATGTCTGGGCTCAAATAAGTCAAACCTGCCTTAAATTATTCGGCTCCCGAGAGTTCGCTGCTCCCAGGTTACTGCCATGGTGGGCTGTCCCCATACAGCCATCTGTTGGCCAGTTTTATTACGTGTGTATCTCCTGCCAGCCAGGAGTGTGTCTCGCTTCTGTGTGCTGTGTAACAGTCCCCAAAAGAAAACATTAACTAGAGTGAGGACGATTGCGGCTTTATGTCATTCCAGTCCTGGAGGAGGTGGCGAAGGTGGTCAGGTTACATCTGTAAGAAAAAACATTTTGATGATGACTTTTCCCACACCCAATTCTCAGGACATCTTGGCAGGATGGGTTTCAGGCACCCTCCTGCCTGTGTGATTGCAACCTGCACGTGGAGACTTGTGGAGGCAGGTGAGGGACCATCTGTCTCAGGGTACAGGGAGATGCTGTGAATGGAGGGGATGCAGCGCTGCAGCCAGGGGGACCCGCCTGTGCAGGACTAAGCCGGACAGCCAGGAGGTTAGTGGACTCGGGCTGCTGGAGGTGTGCGGACCCTCCTGGCCCCAGCCAGTCAGGGGGGCAGAGAGGGCCAGGGGAGCAGGAGGGCCAGGGGCTGGATTTTAAGAGTTGTTCACTTGCAATCAAATGCACCCACTTAAGTGAACCAGAAAGACCTCTGAGCCGCAAGCAGCTGCCACAAAGCCCATGCATTTTACTACAAGGAGAGATAGGCCCTCACCCAGAAAAGGTGCAGTAGGAGGGTAATTTCTCTCATGGATTTCCTCACCTAATGAGCAGCTGAACAGAACACGTTGACAGCAGCAAGGAGTGACAGCTAACTACTGAAAAGTGACCTTTTAATAAACATCACGTGTTTCTTCACTATTTGAGTTTCCATGGGACTCTACCACAGTCCATTAATTAGGGAACCAATTTGTACTCCATGGACTCCAACAAGATGGAAGCTGGGAACCAGCCCCTGGTGAGTGGGAGAAAAGCTATCATGGGCACAGCATGGTGACCTTTAGTCACTCTGTAGGAGGGACTGGCTGTAGGTGGCACCATGTCCTTTTGTCTGCCAGGGGGAGGTGTGGACTGGGCTTCATTGGATTGTCAATGTTCTGGATTTGAAACAAGTTGATTCAAATCAAGTTAATTTTCCCCGTGATGTTTAGGGTTACCCTGGTCAGTTTTGATTAACCAGTTCATTATTTTGAACTTGCAGTAGCAAAATAGCCTCCGAGGTGTGTTTAAACACCTTGTTTATTGAAATTCCTGAAGAAGACATAGCTTTCCATTATAAGTCTATAACTTGCTGTTTTGTTTTGCTTTTGATTTTTAGGGGTGCTTTTACATTTTGGCTCCTTTATAATCATGTAATAGTTAAATGATGATTTACATGGTTCCAAAGTCAAATCTACAAAAGCAGGTATATTCAAAGAAATCCGGTCTCTAGTCTTCTCTCCTCTTTCCCCTAAGGGAGCCATTTTTCTATGTTCTTATGGTTTATTCTTCCATTATCTAATGTGATTTTTTTGATACTTCAAGACTTACTGGAAAAGACTAGCAGAGCAGGATGCCGTGTCTAGTCATGAGAGTGTGACTAGGCTGGGTGTTGAGGAGCTCACAGTCTAGGGGAACAGTGGGACCCGAGATGCTGCAGAAATAGGTACCAAATGCAATGGGACACCAAGGAGGACACACCCATGTGACAGGGCTAGCGTGAGGCAAGTGAGGCTCTCAACACAGGTATAAAACTTTAGGAGGCACCAAAAAAAAAAAAAAAAAAAGGCACTAATCAGGAAAAATAATATTTTAATGCAATATTTGTAAAAAACAAAATTAATGCCAAAAATGCCATAATGAACAAAATTGTAAGTAAAGTCAGGATCAGACCCTGCTTCACTGTCTCACCCTGATCCCAGCCCTAACCCTTATATGCAGAGGACAGTTCAGGGCTGGGACTTCTGAAGGGGAGGAAGGGCATGTCCTGCTGGAGGAACAGAATATGCAGCAGCTCAGAGACGTGCAAGCTGAGGGTGTCTGAGAGCTTTGGGCAGCTTGTTACAACCACTGCAGCGGTCTTGAGTTGTAGCGATTGGCATAAGGAAAGGAGATTGGGGACAGATTGCAAGGGCCTTGAACACCTTTGAACAGAGGGGAGCTGGCAAAGCCTTTAAAATGACATAGATCAGGGGCGGGTACCTTTTTTCTGCTAAGGGCCATTTGAATATTTATAACATTATTCACTGGCCATACAAAACTATCAACTTAAAAATTAGCCTGCTAAGTTTGGTGAAACATTTAATTAACTCACCCCTAAATGATGGCTGGAATTGCTTCTTTTTGGTGAGGCCTTGGAAGGGCCAGACCAAATGATTTCTTGGTTGTTTGTGGCCCGAGGGCCAGACATTCCCCACCCAACATAGATGGTAGAGGTGCTGGAGGGGAAAGAGGAACAAAATGCATGTTGGCAGCCCTAAGTTGTGGACTGGTCCCATTTGTTTAGTCTTGGTGCTTAAAGCTGTCATCTAGAGCATCCTCCCAACAGGGGACTTTTGCTTTCCGTTCCCCGTATGACTATGGGGAAGAACCACAGGAAGGGTCAACCGTTGGAACTTATTTAGGAAGCTGCAGGACACACACCTTGAGGTGGGGGGAGAGGGTGTGTTGGTGCAGAACTCTGGCCTTCAAGTCATACCCTGGGGGAAGTCTCCAGGCAAATCTGATCTTGTGACAAGTTCACCCCCTCCTCCAATCCTTCCTCAGCTTCCCGCTGCCCCTTAGGAGACTGTGAAAGGTTTTCAATGTGGTTTCCAGGCAGCTGTGCCCCCGCCCCCAGCCTCACTCTCAACACCCCCACCCCACTCCCATCCTCTCCACCCTCCAGTTATACTGAACTGCTTTTTACTTCTCAACTGGCCAAGTTCTTGCTGATTCTGGATCTTTGCCCATGCTCTTTCCTCTGTCTAGAGCCCTTTTCTCACCCCTCCTGCTTGTCTCCCTTTGTCTGGTGAGGCCCCCAGTCAGAGCTTCATTAAGCTGGATTTTAATTGTTCCTCCATCCATTCCACCTGTTAACTCCCTGAGGGCAGAGACCATGTCTATCCTCAGTGCCTGCTCCCAGTGCTCAATTCATAGGTGACACTCAATAAATGTTTGTTGAATGAATGAACATGAGACTAGGAAAAGTTGGCTTGCTCACGGCCTTCTACCATTACACTGCTGCGTGACTCTGAGCAAGTCACCTCCTCTCTCTGTGCTTCAGTTTCCTTGCCTCTGAAATGAAGGGCTGGATGGAACCTCCCTGAAGTCCCATCCGAACCTAAAGTGACAAAGGCCATAATGATTTCACTAATCTGCCTTCTCTGATTTCTTTTGGAAGATGACACCAAGTTGAATCCCTATGCAGGAGGAGACGGTGAGTATAGAAGCTGCCTGCCCTCTTCTTCAGAGCTATTGCCTGCTGGACTCACCCCAGAAGAGGGTGCAGCCGTCACCTGCCCCTTTGCTTTCTCTCTGAGTGGGGGAGGAAGCCACAACAGCGGCCTGAGCTTCCTAGACCTCCTGCCCGTGGGAAGGCAGGGGCCCCCTAGATTGAAGGAACACGTATCTACATCTAGACACTTCCCATCCCGGTCAGGAACCTCCTGGGCTTCTTCCCTACTCTTGAATACCCACCTCCCTAAAATGAGAGGGGGGTGGTGATAGAGCTTCACAAGGGCAGGCATGGTGGTGCGGCCCGTGGCCATCGGCCTGTTGCCCCCGTGGGCCTCCCAGTGAGGGGTGGAGAGCAGCTTCTCTCACACCCACTTTCCTTTGATTCCCCACCTGGGTTGGCAGAGAGTACACGAGAGTTGTTCACCGCAATTTTTATAGGGTGCTAGAAGCTGGGGTTCCCTACCCCAGGATTACCTGGGAGGCCAGCCTCCCTGATGAGGTGAGGTGGCCCCATCTTTTCTGTCTTTTGTCCAGAGCGAGCTCAGGCCCTTGCTGCAAACACTGCAAAGGGGAGGTAGAAGTGCTTCCAACTCCAGGGCCTGGGATGTGGGGTTTCAGCAGGAGAGAAGAGGCTATTAATACGCACAGTTTGATTGCGGCTCCCACCGGAGATGCAGCTCTTCTTCTGTGGGCAGCAGGTGTGAGTGTGCATGTGTGTTGGGGGGGCGGGTGGAAGGGCGCAGCTGGGCCCATGCCCCTCTCTACACCATGTGTTCATTAGCCCAAGCCCTGACCGTCAGATCACCAGGGTCACTGCAGGCTGCTGGCTGGCTGGCTGATTGCCAGGGCAGGGGAGGCCAGCTTGGGGGCCTGTCACCTCAACTCTCCCCACCTGTTGGCAGATAGAGGTACAAACCGTGCACCGAGTGCCCCAGGGTAATGTCTCTCCTGGCTTTCCTCTGCTTGCAGAGAGGAGGGGTTGGGGAGGGCAATGATTTTGGATGCATGCAACATCCTTTTAAAATCCCCACCCCCTGCTGACTCCTGTCCCACCAGGTAAGAAAGAGGAGATATTCCTGTTGTTGACATGCTCCTGTCTCTATTTCATGATCTCTGCATCCCTTTAGGGCAGGGAGCAGCAGCGAACAGCCGGCCCAGGTGGTATCAGAAGTTAGGCTTCTTAGTGGCTGGCACAGGCTGTGTCCTTGGACAAATCACTTCACCTCTCTGTGTTTCCATTACCTCAGCCGCACAGGAAGGGTGGGACTGAATGGGCTTCCAGCTCAATAGTCTATGGAAATACTCAGTTTCCTCCATGGAATATATTTCAAATGCTTGGGATGCTCTGAGAGTGGCTGCTGGTTTATTGGCCTTCAGAGAATCTAGCGCATTTCTTTTATTGAGCTCCTACGATGGATTGACCATTTTTTCTCAGCGCTGAGGACATAGATGACTAAGACACTGTCTCTGCCCTTCAGGGCGTCGCAGTCTGGTGTAATGGATAGTGACAGGTAAAAATATGGTCACTTTGCTATCATAATATCTGACACTTATTGAGGTCACCAAAGACACCAGCTGTGGTCCTCAGTACTTGACAAGAATTACCTTGTTTTAATCCTCACAATAACCCCAGCATGTAGTTATAATGGTGCTTGTTCTACATAAGTGATAGCTGAGACACAGAGAGGTTAAATAATTTGCCCAAGGTCACACAGCTAGCAAGTGGCAGAGTCTAGATTCAAATCCAGGCACCCAGATGCCAGCTCCCAAACTCTTCACCATAACATACCCTTTGTGAATTCCTTAAGTGTGTATGTGGCACGGGTATCAGAGAAAACTTCTCTCATATCCTTTATTTGATTGATATTTGGGCAACTTTAAGTGACTTTGAAAAACCACCTGACCTGGCCGACGTGGCTCAGTTGTTGAGCATCGACCTATGATCCAGGCGATTGCGGTTCGATTCCCTGGTCGGGGCACATGCCCGGGTTGCGGGCTTGATCCCCAGTAGGAGGTGTGCAGGAGGCAGCCAATCAATGACTTTCATCATTGATGTTTCTATTTCTCTCTCTCCCTCTCCTTTCCTCTCTCTGAAATCAATAAAGACATTTTTTTTTTAATTATTTTTTAAAAAGCCACCTGAACCATGCCAAGAATGTTAATGCCGTGCTCATGATTCTACCCATTCTAGCCCCCCCTTTTCGTGTACTTGATAACTAGATCGAAGGTTCCATCAGTTTTCATCTCGAGGACTTTGTCAGAACCCAGGACCAATGGCCCCACCTTCCCTGTTCCCCTGCAGCAGCCCTGCCCTAATGGTCTCTCCTCAGGCCTTCAGAACAACCTGTCCCCCAAGACAAAGGGCCCCCCGGTGCACCTGGGCACCATCGTGGGCATCGTGCTGGCGGTCCTCGTCGTGGCGGTCATCATCCTGGCCGGGATTTACATCAGTGGCCACCCCACTTCCAATGCCGCGCTCTTCTTCATCGAGGTCAGCCCCCCCACACTTCTGCATCATGTTTCCCTGGCCATTCAGTACCTGCCTCTCCCCATCTCATCCCTCACCCGTCACATGCCTGGCTCCTGTTCCCACCCGAGGAATCTTCATGGACTCCTCCGGCACATCTCACACTGCCTAGTGCTCTTTCAGCCCCAACCCCAAGGGCTCTGCACTCAGAGCTCTTGCAGCCCTCCTATCCTGTCTACTTTTGCTCTCTCATTTGAAATTAAGCCCCAGGGGAAAGAAATGAGGCCAAAAGTGCCACACATGGCCACTTAGTGGCTGTGCAGTCAATCCCTAAAGATCTATGGTCTCTCATGGCCAAATTCCAGGCCCGGTGTTTATTCGAAGCCATAATGGAACTTAGGTCTTCTGCCTGTTTGCTGTGTGGGTTTTGTTTTTTGTTTTTCTGGGTTTTCTTAATTTTTATTTTCAGGGTACGTTTACCAAAGCTGGGGACAGTGAAACAAGGAAGGGCTTAGGATAGAAGCAGCAATGGGAGAGAGTCTAGGTGGGGCTGCTTTTGCTCTCTAGAAATGTTATGGAAAGAAATGAGCCTAGGTGGGGCTGCTTTTGCTCTCTAGAAATGTTATGGAAAGAAATGAGTCTAGGTGGGGCTGCTTTTGCTCTCTAGAAATGTTATGGAAAGAAATGAGCCTAGGTGGGGCTGCTTTTGCTCTCTAGAAATGTTATGGAAAGAAATGAGTCTAGGTGGGGCTGCTTTTGCTCTCTAGAAATGTTATGGAAAGAAATGAGCCTAGGTGGGGCTGCTTTTGCTCTCTAGAAATGTTATGGAAAGAAATGAGTCTAGGTGGGGCTGCTTTTGCTCTCTAGAAATGTTATGGAAAGAAATGAGCCTAGGTGGGGCTGCTTTTGCTCTCTAGAAATGTTATGGAAAGAAATGAGTCTAGGTGGGGCTGCTTTTGCTCTCTAGAAATGTTATGGAAAGAAATGAGTCTAGGTGGGGCTGCTTTTACTCACTGGAAAGTCAGAGCAAAGGGGCCTTGGGGACAGGTTGAGGGGATTAGAGCAGGACAAGCTGCCTCTGCCCATTGCTCGCATGGTTGCAAGTCTCTGGGGACCCTTAGAGTTTAGGAGATGCATGCCTGAGAGGGAAGAAAGGTGTGGGAGTGCTCCCAGGAGGGAGAATATGCTGCTGTGTGGGTTTTTTAGATTGGACTTGACAAACCGTAATAACAACAAGTTGCTTTCTCTTGGAGCTTTCATTGAGAATGCCATAGTTTTGCATGTCTCAGAATTTGGGAGAGCCAACCCAAGGTGCAGCATGGAAGTAAGGCCCAGCCCCCTTCACGCTGGGCCACGGAGCTCAGCAGATCCTGTCCCTGCCCCACTCTCGGCTTCTCGCCAGCTGTCCTCGTGGCACAGCTGTGGCACCTCTGTGACCACAGTCTTCTTCACAGGGTGCAAGAACCCGCTCGCCTCATTACCCAGAGGCCCTCCTTCTTGTTTAGATGCCCCCTGTTTCTTGTGAGTCCTAACCAGTCATTCTTAAGCCTTAGCCTACCTGGTACCCCCAGCCACAGGGATGCTGATAGGGCAGGTCTGAGGCAGGCCCAAGAATCTGCATTTTCACAAGCTTGCCAGCTGACTCTGATGCGAACCTATTATCTGGGCATTTCCAGAACCTCCCAATCATTCCCTCTCTCACCTACGTCCTCACTTTCCACTGTCTCAGGGCTCCACTCTATATGTTGCTAAAGCTTTCACCTTACGTCCCGCAGCCCTCACATCCCAGGAGGTTCCCCAGCAGTGGAGGGAGGGGCCCTGAACTTCACCCAGCTCTCAGTAGGCCCCCAGTGCCCTTGTAAAGAGAGTCTCGGTGCTCAGTGCTGTCCCTGGGGAGTGGTCCCCAGCGGGTGAGGTCACACCCACTGACCCTGGTCTGTACCCCCGCAGCGGAGACCTCACCACTGGCCGGCCATGAGATTCCGCAACCACCCCAACCACTCCACCTACACAGAGGTCGAGCCCTCCGGCCACGAGAAGGAGGGCTTTGTGGAGGCGGAGCAGTGCTGAGAGCGCCAAGCCACCCCTTGGAAGGGTAGAAAGGAAGCCCCAGGCACCCCGAAAAAGACGAGTCAAAACAAAGCGGAGAAATGATTTTTCTTGGCCTCCTCCAAACATACGCTGGCTGGGAAGATGGGACAGTGGTTTGTGCTGCCAGAGCTCAGTTTGGGCATCACACCCCGATATCGAAGGCGGGGCAGCAAAGCCACCACACTGAGTTTTTAAGGAACAGTAAACCCAACTACAACCTCTTCTGATGCAAGGGGTCTCCCCTTCTGGGGCTGTCAATGGTCTACTCTGTAGCTGCCCCAGAGACCCCCTCCCACCTGGAGATGACCAGATGCCCTGCTCCCGGTCACCTAATGCCCCTGCATATGACACAAGAGAACTGAGCTCTTGATCGGGGCCGCCGCATCCAGGGTCCATAGACTCAAGAGCTGGTCCTCATGGCTATGGACTCGGCGCTCAGCCCCTGCTTCTGTGGCTCTGGAAGTCTGGAGAAGGAGTTGTCGCCCGCGTTCACAGCTGCAGCCCCGAGCCCTTCGCAGGCCGCCGGAGGGGGCAGCGCCAGGGGAGAGGAGAGAACAGAACCCGGGAAAACTGCACCTCTAGGCTTTGCTCCCTCCACCTGCCCTTTCTGCTGAGAACCAGTACGTCTGCATCGGGAGTGTGCAGCCCTTTTAACCCAGCTGGGCCCAGCCCAGCCTCGGCCAGGCGAGCCATGGGGGGCTCTTTATTCGATGGCACATTTGGTGACCATCGTGTTCACTGGCCTTTCCCTCTGTCAGTGCCAGTAAGTACCTCCCAAGGCAGAGGTTTCCTGGTTACTATCTCTCCTCCAAGCTGGATTTTGGTAGCTGTTAAAGAGAAAGAGTGGTTTATGGAGATGTACACAGCAGGGAACATCAGTTGGAGTCTGTTGAGAAGCAAAGTCACCGGAACAGTTGGGACACAGGATGCTCACACGGGAAGGAGGGACTTTCTACATAAAATCTCACCTACAGAGTTGCTTCCACCTCCCCATCTCTGCTAGAAGTTTTCGGAGCAGAGTTTAGGCTCCCAAACTTAAGCTGGTTTTAAGGTAATTCTGTCCCAAAGATGAGTTGGGGCTGCTTCTGAAGAGTATTTAAAATGAAAAGCGAGAGCCCCGCCGGTGTGACTGTTTTGTTGAGTGTCATCCTGTGCACCGAAAGGTGGTTGGTTCGATTCCCAGTCAGGGTGGGTTTGATCCCCAGTTGGGGTGCGGGAGGTAACCGATGTTTCTTTCTCACATCCATGTTTCTCTCTCTTGCCCTCTCCCTTCCTCTCTCTCTCTAAAAACCAATTTTTAAAAAACATGTTAAAAAAACAACAAATAAAATGAAAGTCTATAGCTCCCCTCATCCAAAGTAAAAATTATCAGCAGTAAATAAATGGTAAATCACAGTCTCCATTTGGTCACGCCCTTTTATGCGTGTCATTGGGGCCACTGCAAAAGAAAGGAGATAGTTTAAGTACCCGGCCTCCTAAGGTGGGGGGTTGGGAGTCCACAAATAACAGACACATCCAAACACTTGACTGGTGGTCTTCCAGACACTCCATAGTTTATCCTCGGTGAGGACACTAATGACAACTGGAGTAGGAAACATGCTGGACCAGACAAGGGAGGGCTATGGGAAGGGTCAGAATTTGAGAAAGAAGAAAGACAGTGCCACCAAGAGAACAGGGTTCTTTCCAGGCTCCTGAGGGACAGAAAGGTCTGTAACAGCCCTCAGTGAGAGCAGCACAGCCGGGCACTGAAATGATCTGGGCTCCCAGCACTCCTGGCCCGCAGGAGGGTGAGTTTTGCTCTTGCCTGACCAGCAAAGCATCTGGACACAAAGAACTTTATGTGTCTAAATGGCCAGTGGGATGGTTTCTGTTGTGGCCAAGTGCAGTGCACAGCACAATTTGTCCCCAAACCCAGCCTGCTCTTCCCAGTGGGAGCTCTGCCAGCCGTTCTGGATTCCCAAATGGAGAGAGCACGGAGACTGGAGAAAGGGGTGGTGATGCGCTGAGGCCTCTGTCACAACCACCGCAGGTGGAAAAAAAGTGCCAGATGCCTTGGCGGCTGGGTCAGAGAAGCCTGGTGAACCCCTGGGATGACAGTGGAGTTGTCTGGCAGCAGACAGCCTGATTTGTTTACAGCAAAAAGAACTAAAGATGTGTCATTAAGAGAGGCCTCTGGACATTAAAGAGCCTCTGGATGTCTCCAGCCAAAACATGTAGCCGAGTGCTCCCAAGAAACAGAGCTAGGCAATCCCGGAGGTAGGGCTGGGTCCCAGCTATCCTTAGGGTCTCTCTCAGGATAAGTGTTTCTTAGACCCAGGAGTTTTACTCCAAGGTTTAGAGCAGGTTAGCTGGGTAGCTGTGGAGAGTGACCAGAAGGAGACATGGGGGTCTGGTGGTCAACCCTCTGAGTTTGGCTGATAGTCCAAAACGATCAACCACAGAGAGCCTGTAGACTTCCAGGTGCCCCTGCCCCATAGCAATAGACGATCTCCAAGGAAAGCAGGTAGTTGGCAGGCACCTTCTCCACATGGTGTCTCTGGGCATCCTCACAGTGATCCCCCTGGGAGGTAGGAGGGTCCGGTCCATGAGAGGTCATCACTGCGACAGGAAGTTTTAACCCTGTGAGGTAGGGCTCTGGGGAGCTGTCTGTGGAGCCCAGAAATCAGAGTCTCAGGGAGGCTCTTTTACACAACTCTTAAGAGAGCCAACAAGAACATGGGAATAAGAGGAATGAAGAGGCGAGCAGGCGAGGGGGCCCTGAATCAGGCTGTGAGCATGACCTCATTCCTGAATCAGCTGCTCTTAGATTTGTCCAGTAAGGCCCCAGGGGTTTCTGCTTCCAGAACAGGAGTGCACATGAGCTCAGCCATCGCCCTAGCACCCAGGAATGCCCCGGGTAGCAGACAGGATCTCCAAGTCTAATTGCCTGCCCACCTCCCTCCTGCCATAATCAGGTATCACCCACTCAGCCCAGCAGACCCCGACTCTGGAGGCCGCTTCTTCAGGTCTCAGCCCGAAGCCTGAAGCTGAAATGTCCATTTGTCACTATTAAAAGTTATCAATGGGCCCGTGGAAACAAGTTTTTAAATGTTTGTGTTTCACCAGAGCTCCCCTGTGTAATGTATCCCAGTGTGTGTATATTTTTAGGCTGTAGTGTGCTCAGCCTGTAGCTTGGTTTGTTAAATTGAGACAGTGGCAAAAGCTGCCAGCCAACCACACTATTTGAAAAGCGAAGTGCTCGCCGCTTGAACTGATCACTCCTCTGGCTGTGAGCAGGACTAAGGCACTCTGCTCCGGCTCCTGGAACAGATACAGATTTGCTCAGAGCGCTAAGGGGGCTACACCCAGACTCCTGGCCTTGAGAAGCAACCCCAGGTAGAGTCACAGATAAAATGCCGCCTGCCCCCCTCTCTCTCTCTTTCTCTCTCCCTCTCCATTCTCCTCCCTCACCCTCCCAACAAAAACCTACCTGAATTTACAGCACAATTAGGAGGATCTGGAGATTGAGGGCACCCTAGCTCTCCTAAATGCAATGTATTCACGTTATTTAGTGTGAATTCTATGCATGGATTCTTGAGTGTTAACAATAAAAGGCAACATTCTTTTAAGACTCCTGCTGTGTGCAAGATAAACTACAAAAGATTTTGAGTGACGTTCTGCAAATTGCCACACATGCCTTAGTCCTGACAGACGTCTTCTCTAAGGACCTTCACTAAGGACAGCCTCCAGTCATCTGCCCAACAGGGGTGCTTTTCCCAACCTCTCAGTCCCACCCCCAGGAGAAGTAGCCTGGAAAGAGACAGACCCCAGCTATTTATTTATTTAGGGTTTGTAAATCCCTGGAAGTAAACCTCATGGGTTTCCAACCTGCTCTCTAGAATTACCAAGTAAATCCATATAAGTTGATACTGCCGCATTTCTGGAAGCTTTGCATTCGAACCGCTTTAGCAGCCTCATTGTGTTTTCATTACTTCGCTTTTTATTTCTTGCTCGCCATCACGGTTAAGCAAACCAAAACAAAGAGAGGAAAAATGTGAACTCCCCACAGCCAAACTCAGCTATGCCAAATTTCAGTCTCCAAACAAGTCAATTTATAAATAAACGTACCGTGTTTGCCAAATAAAGAGGAATGTGTTGGAGAAGGCAACGTGGGCTGGTGGAGAAAGCGCCCAGCTATGCAGGGAATCAGAGGCAGGAGCTGTAGCCCCAGCCCCGTCCCCAGGAGCTGAGCCAACCCAACACCTCTGGGCCTCTGTGAAATAAGGGGGGCGGGGCGGACAAATTGTAAGGTGGGAATATATTCCTCTCGTTAGCAAAAGCCTCACCTGTTTGTTGTTTGGTTTGGTTTGGTTTGGTTTTCAGTTCACACAGCAGCTCAGACCAAAGCATCCCTTTCTTGTCCAGTTTGCCCAGGACTTTCCTAGTTCTACCGAGAGGGTGCTGTGTCCCAGGAAGCCCCTCATCGTGGAACACTGGACAATGAGTTCCGAGCCCATCGGCTGAAGAGATGATGTTGATCATCCCAAGCATTTCAGAGTCCTGGACCCAGCTGTTCAAAGTGTGGTCCACACAGGATTCCCTGGGGGTTAGTGAGACACGCAGGCCTCCAGAGTAAGAATCTGCGTTGAAGCAGCTCCCCAGGTGACTCATGGGAAACGAAGGCAAGTTTGAGAAGCACTTCTAGCAAGCAGTTTTACCTACGTGATCACAGCCTGTTGGGGAAGTATCATGCCCCCATTTCCCAGGGGAGGAAGCTGAGGCTCAGGCAGGTGGTTTGCTGGTTTATTTATTCCTTTGGTCCATACTCTTTAAGCACCTACTGTGTGCCAGGCAGCATTCAGTGACTTGCCCAATGTCACACAGTAGGAAGTACAGTAGTCCAGACAACCCCCAAACCCAGCTCTTCGAATTCTCCTCTGCTGTTATTCCCTGTGTACCATGGGGTGGTGCCAGAACTGCATGGCCACATTTTATATGGATGCAGGCTGTAGATCAAACAGAGGCCTCAAAAAGACACACAGTGATGACTTCGGATATACACTCTTGGCTCTCGAAACTGTGAGCTTATCATCTATTTATTTACACACCCCAGGAGCTTGAAAATGTCCTCATTGTTGCCGCCTCCTTCACAGCCCACTCCCCATTCCTGTGCAGGCTCCATAAGGCCTTAGCAGAGCGCCAAGGCCAAGCCTCTGTGCTATTTATCTTCTTGAATGGAGGACAATCGATTACTTCATTAGCCAGAAGGGGACTGGAGAGAAGGGAAATGGGAAGGGAAGAGAGAATTCTCATCTGAATTGCAAAAACCAAAAGAGAACTTCTTTGGGGGACGACTTTTCTGATGTTCATAAAACATTTTTACATTTGGTCTCTAGCAATAGCTAAAGCGTGCCTATAGTTTCCCACAAAGCTAAAAGCCCTGGAAAAGAAACATCTGAATATAGGCCAATAACATTTCATGATACAGTCCCAGCCTTGGGTTACAACCTTCCCTTCCAGCATCAGTCTTTCCAAAGTTTTTCCTCCCCCCAGAATTGACTGTCACCACCATGGGATCAGGTGAATGTCTAAAAGGTATAACATAAAGACTCACCAAGTCCAGTTGAGGAAAGTCTGGAAATCCTCAAAAAAGAACAGATACAGTTTCTCATCCATGATCTGCCCTACAGTCCCCTTAGGTTAGATTCCATTTTGAATTCACAGCTACGCTACTCTAAATAAACTGAAATACAGTGGGTCAAGTGCCCTCTGTCTTGACTCCCCTCTCTCAAGGAACAGTAAATAATTCCAAGAGCCCCTCCTCAATGCCAAAAGGTATCATGCCCCAGGGCTCACCTTCTTCTTTCTCCATAGCTGCTGGTTCCTTGGGGCTCTTCTCTCCCAAGCCATCCATGGACTGAGCAAAATCTTCCCAACTACCTTTTTTTTTTTTTTTAAATGTTTTTATTGATTTTAGAGAGAGGAAGGGAAAGGCATAGAGAGAGAAACATCAATGATGAGAGTCACTGATGGACTGCCTCCTTCACGCCCCCACAACCCAGGCATGTGCCCTGACCGAGAATCGAACCAGGATCTCCTGGATTATAGGTCGATGCTCAACTGCTGAGCCACACAGGCCCAGCTTCCCAACTACCTTTGCTCTTCCTTCTGCCTCCAAAGTCAAGTGCTCAGGCCTCTTCACTGGGAAGGGGGACCCAAAACTAACACAACTG